AAAGGAATAGACTCAACCCACTTTATTCAGCTAGCTAACTATGACACCATAGCTAACTAGCATGCTAGCATCCAAAAACACACAGTTTAGCACCAACACTTGCATCCAAAAACACACAGTTTAGCGCCAACACTTGGTCACAACAAACCACCAATAGTGTGTTAACACACTAAGCAGATAATTAGTGTCCGTGTCTGTTGGCTAGCTAGCAATGGCCACTGTGTTGACCTTGTTTGAAGAACGGCTAGCTAGCTAGCTTCGTGCTACCCCCGGCACCGCCGAACAACAATGCCAACCCACAGTAACTAACCACAACAGCCCACGATGCCTAGCTATGACGCCATAGCTAACTAGCATGCTAGCATCCAATAACACACAGTTTAGCACCAATACTTGGTTACAACAAACCACCAAGAGTGTGTTAACACACTAAACAGATAATTCATGTCCGTGTCTAGTTTCTTTCGTAACGCAGCAAAAAATTAATGTGACCTGCTCTAACCACAAGCTGCTCATGTCAGCCTTCCATGGCAGCAGACATGGGAGGAGACAGGGAGGGGAGGACATGGGAGGAGACAGGGAGGGGAGGACATGGGAGGAGACAGGGAGGGGAGGACATGGGAGGAGACAGGGAGGGGAGGACATGGGAGGAGACAGGGAGGGGAGGACATGGGAGGAGACAGGGAGGGGAGGACATGGGAGGAGACAGGGAGGGGAGGACATGTATTTGGACTAGACACTGTGGTTTGGGTAGAGAAGGGAAAGAAGTATGTTATTTGAAATACACCATCATTCTTTAATGAGAGGTTATGAGTGGGGTAAAATCTAGAGAGGATCAAATTAAACCTATTCGTTAGAGAACAACCCAAATCCTTATCGCGTAAGTCCCCCTACACTTCAACAATAATACCCCAATTCAAAAGGACTGGTAGGCCTAACTGTGGAAAGTAGCGTCAACGAAGGGAAAAATAAAATAGAATAATTCTATAGTTAATTCCAAATGAAATGTGACTGTAAAATGTGTGGTGGGAGAACAGCATTAAACAGCGATGGACTTATTCCAGACAGCCTTTCCATCCTGCCTGTCAGAACGTTAGCTTTGCCTGGGTCGTGGCTAATTGAGATAAGACACTAATTCTGCTGATAGATTATGAATGTATGAACTACACACTGACACATCCAGCCCAAAGCGTGAGGTTTAAAAAAAATACTTATTAGTCGCCAAAGTTCCAGAGCATGTCTTAAACTGTAGAAGGGACTTGGTTTAAAAGGCCAGTTATTTGTTGTTCTCTGTGTAGTCTTATGAGGTACAAATGGAGAGCATGGACTTGGCATTATGGAAACTGTAAGCCACTATGGCAAAGGCTTTAAAAGCAAGTAACTTATTTTGTGATAGAAATCCCAAACAATGGGCACAAATATGGAGTCTGTGACGGAGCCTGAGGAAAATTACATTCCAGTCTAAATGAAGATTCAAATCAGCCTTCTGGGACAGTTTTCCTTTGTCCTCTGCTACAATGCTTTTGTGTTGGTCTGCCTGAACCTTCACTGGATTCCAGGGAGTGGGCACTGGACACCACCCTGGCCTGGCACCACATTGGCACACCAGGGGTAATCCTCTTTAAAAGTCATGCATTTCTCTAGTGAGATGATGCTTGGAACCATTCAGTCTACATCCCACATGGCACCCTATCCCCTATATAGTGCACTACTTTTGACCAAGGCCCATAGGGCTTTGGTCAAAAGTAGTACACTATTTAGGGAAATAGGGTGCCATTGGGACACACGGTCTGTGACTAACGTAATAGTCACTACATCATTAATGGGTCAGTGTTCTGACTAACCTTGCTGATGTACTGTCCATGACCATAACAGAACTGAGAAATGCAAGACTTTTAAAGAGGATTATCTTCTCCTAAATACTGAGGTATAATCTGTGTCCCAAATGGCACCCTATTTCCTATACTATATATCCCTATGTGCCCTGATCAAAAGTAGTGCTCTAAATAGGGAATAGGGTGTCATTTGGGACGCGTACAGATATCCGTGAGCCAAGCCCAAAAGCCCTGGTCGTAAAGGTCTTTAACTGTGCCGCGGTGACATCATGCTGTTGGCATGGCGGAATATTGGTGGGAGGACATACACCCTAATTCATCCCAGTATCTTTGGCAGTACAGAGAATTAAAGAACAGCAGAAACCATGCATTTGATAGGTTGATGACAGATTTAACAACCAACTCATGACTCATAGTCATAGTAGTCACATTGTGGAAGAGGGTTAGGACTTTCTTTATGATATGGAAAGCCTGTGGTTGAAAGACATTTAAGGCAATGCTTTGAGTCCTGTCAAAATGCCACCTAGTGAACGAATGTGGTATTGCATACTGACAATACAGCGTTCACTAATAAGCATGCATATCTACTTTAAATACATCTACTACTATATTTTTATCTGAACGATCAAAATGACAGTTTTGTCTGTATTCACCAAACCATTTCAATACTACACACCTGATCAGTATTGGTCGCACACAGGGAACGTTCTAGAAATAGCTTGGGACCAGTGTTGGGGAAGATACTCTTAAAATATAGATTTCCAAGCTAACAATTACTTCACACTGGCAGAAGTTAAGCTACACTAAAGCTAACCTTCAGAAGAATATAGTTTACTTAACTAAAGTTACTTTGAAAAAGTAGGTCACTACATCTAAACTACTTAATGAAAAAGTATCATATCTAAATATGAAATGTCAGTCTATAAATTGCAAAAACAGATCACTCTAAGGTCAAATGTTAACAGAATGTGTAATTTAGCCTATTAAACACAAAAACAATGTTTCAAGTGAGAATTAAGCAGGTATGATACCGAAATTTTTTATTAATGATTGCCTACTTCACACATATTGTATTTTCCTTTTACAAACACGTGTAGTTCCAGTAGTTAGCTAAGGCTAAAAAGTTAACTACTGAAAACACTACCAATATTTGAATTTAGTTCAATTACCACCAAACTACTGCAAAATGTAGTTAAATTACTAGTTAAACTACAGTACCAGTCAAAAGTTGACACCTACTCATTCAAGGGTTTTTCTTTATTTTTACTATTTTCTACATTGTAGAATAATAGTGAAGACATCAAAACTATGAAATAACACATATGGAATCATGTAGTAACCAAATAAAGTGTTAAACAAATGTATTAGAGATTCTTCAAAGTAGCCACACTTTGCCTTGATGACAGCTTTGCACAATCTTGGCATTCTCTCAACCAGCTTCACCTGGAATGCTTTTCCAACAGACTTGAAGGAGTTCCCACATATACTGAGCACTTGTTGGCTGCTGTTCCTTCACTCTGCGGTCCGTCTTATCCCAAACCATCTCAATTGGGTTGAGGTCGGGATTGTGGAGGCCAGGTCATCTGATGCAGCACTCCATCACGCTCCTTCTTGGTCAAATAGCCCTTACAAAGCCTGGAGGTGTGTTGGGTCATTGTCCTGTTGAAAAACAAATGATAGTCCCACTAAGCGCAAACCAGATGGGATGGCGTATCGCTGCAAAATGCTGTGGTAGCCATGCTGGTTAAGTGTACCTTGAATTCTAAATAAATCCTGACAGTGTCATCAGCAAAGCACCCCCACACCATCACACCTCCTCCTCCATGCTTCACGGTGGGAACCACACATGCGGAGATCATCCGTTTACCTACTCTGCGTCTATCAAAGACACGGCGGTTGGAACCAAAAATCTCAAATTTGGACTCATCAGACCAAAGGACAGATTTCCACCGGTCTAATGTCCATTGCTCGTGTTTCTTGGCCCAAGCAAGTCTCTTCTTCTTATTGGTGTCCTTTAGTAGTGGTTTCTTTGCAGCAATTCGACGATGAAGGCCTGATTCACAGTCTCCTCTGAACAGTTGATGTTGAGATGTGTCTGTTAATTGAACTCTGTGAGTAATTTCTTTGGGCTGCAATCTGAGGTGAAGTTAACTCTAATGAAAGTATCCACTGCAGCAGAGGTGACTCTGGCGGTCCTCATGAGAGCCAGTTTCATCATAGAGCTTGATGGTTTTTGCGACTGCACTTTAAGAAACGTTCAAAGTTCTTGTCATTTTCCAGATTTACTGACCTTCATGTCTTAAAGTGATGGAGTGTTGTTTCTCTTTGCTTATTTGAGCTGTTCGTGCCATAATATGGACTTGGTCTTTTACCAAATAGGGCTAACTTCTGTATACACCCCTACCTTGACACAACACAACTTATTGGCTCAAACGTATTATGGAAAGAAATTCCACAAATTAACTTTTAACAAGGCACACCTGCTAATTGAAATGGATTCCAGGTGACTACCTCATGAAGCTGGTTGAGAGAATGGCAAGAGTGTACAAAGCTGTCATCAAGGCAAAGGGTGGCTACTTCGAATAATTTGTTTACCACTTTTTTGGTTACTACACGATTCCATGTGTTATTTCATAGTCTTCACTGTTATTCTATAATGTAGAAAATAGTAAAAAATAAAGACAAACCCTGGAATGAGTTAGTGTCCAAACTTTTGACTGGTACTGTACGTGTAGTTCACTACTACCCAACACGGCACGGGACGTGGTCACCCTGTTGCCCCCTGGTTCACTTAAACTGTCACTATTCAGAAAACACACTCCATCTCTGAGAACTACCCAATAGGAATGCCATAATAATGACTTCATATCTTTGTGTGTAAACCGAGTTATTTTTAATCACACTTGGGAGTCAGAATGAAGCTGTTTGAAGGTGAGCGTAGTACTAAAACAATTTCCATGATCTCACTGAAACTTCACGAGTCAAAAGCAGCGCATTATAAATGGAATAGGGTGCTATTTGAGACTCAGCCAATAAGATGGTGGACTGGAGACAGCATCATCTGAGCTCCTTGGCAGGTAACAGGACCATGAAGAAGCCACAATGAAACAGGCAGTAGTTGCTGTCAGACACAGAGGGAAATCTGTTGGTTTCCCTGCTAAATGATTACTGAAGAGTACAGAGTAAAGACAGAGATGAGATTTTGACTAACATCCAAGGAATTGTCAATGCTTCTGGTGGGCTAGACATTCACAAACTAAGATTTTTACCATAAACAACAAATATATAGTAATATTTATCATTTCAATGTTTTATTACAATTTTATGCTAAACAAATCTCTAAATTATAATAAAAAGAAGCTGGGATATTCAAACTACACAATGACTAATAAAAAGTAAAATATTATTTTTGTCACAAGAAGAGCAGAGGAAGATGTGGAGAGTTACATGATAAATATAGAATGTTCAACACTATACAATAATAACCCAAGCTGGGTATTGAGTAACATGCAATGACACACCTTGTATTTTTTTTGTTGCAGGAAAATCATGAAACACAAATAGTCCCAGTAGCAGGTGGGATGGGCAACATTTCATGCAATATACACAAAGCAGAAACCAAGACAGTTCACAAAAGGCATATAAAGTTCACAAAGCCCAGATAAGTCTCTCTGCTTCACGGTAGACCTCTCCTGTGTGGCCAGTTCTGGTCTGAAGTACTTAACACCCCCCATTCATCATCAAGTTGAATAGTCCTGTGGAACAACGACAACGTCGACGACAGATTTAAAAGCAGAACTTTAAATATTTTGAATCACACATTGCTTCATTGGAAGCTCAAGACAACAGAACATTCAAATAGCTTACCGCTCTGGGTTTCTTGTTCACCTTCATGTCGAATCTAAAAACAAACAAAGCAAGAGTTACGATAGGTCTTTCAGGGTTCACTAAATACAACACTAGTAACCATGGAGACAACAAGCACCACTACAGTTACTCGAGCTAAGAGACCAAGCAACACACAACTAAAGAACCATATAAAAGACTGGGATGTGCTGAAAGATGTCTGTTTTTACTCAACCTGTGACCTCCCCATCTCATTTTGGCAGGAAGAGCAGCTTTTTTCATAACTGGATTAAAGGAACTGGACCTTTATGGAATGAAACCAGGGTCAAGAAATAAACTGAGCTTCTAAAGAAGTAGTGTTCATGCCCCTATGACTCAAACACTACATAATCTAGTGTTGAGTCTACAGAAGCTAGGTGCTAATACTTTATTAGAAACAACGCATTATTTGAGAAATGAAGGGTGCGTCCCCAAATGGTGCCCTATTTCCTATATGGGCCCTGGTCAAAAGTAGTGCACTAAATAGGGAATAGGGTGCCATTAGGGACAGAACTAAAGATTTGGACATGCAGTAATGATAGACTCGCTATGATGACGCATTAACCGTGACAGAAGCAGATGGAGAGCTGAGGGGGAGAGAGAGTGGGAACGTCAGGATGGGGTCAGAGAAGGCAGGGGCAGTCCCCCAAATGGCACCCTATTCCATACATAGCACTACGTTTTACCAAAGAGCTCTGCACTATATAGGGAATAGGGTGCCATTTGGGTCACGGCCAGGATGTATCACCACAGGAAGCAGGAAGTAAAATTGGAGACTTACTCGAAGTCATAATGAAACATGGCAGAAGGGCTGGGGCAGCATTAGGGGAGGTAGAGAGCAGCAGTAGTTAATACACCGGTCTGACTCACTCTAAAGGGATGCTTACGTTGTCTATAAAATACAGGCTTGTTAATAATTGAACTAGCTAGCACAATATTTTTGTATTTTCATTTAACTAACTGTGAGGATTTTGTCTTAATATGTGTTGGTTTATCAGGCTACATACAACATAACACAATGTGGCTAGGAACCGGTGTGATGAGTTGACACGGTCTAATTGATATTAATACAGCTGGAAAAGTTGGCACCATTCCTTACTCCTCCTCACATTCTAGCTCCAATACAAACAGACTAAGCCACTTGCTATATACAGTAGTACAGCCAATCAAACTGACCCTCCTGATGTTTATACAGTAATACAGCCAATCAAACTGACCCTCCTGATGTATATACAGTAGTACAACCAATCAAACTGACCCTCCTGATGTATATACAGTAGCACAGCCAATCAAACTGACCCTCCTGATGTATATACAGTAGCACAGCCAATCAAACTGACCCTCCTGATGTATGTACAGTAGTACAACCAATCAAACTGACCCTCCTGATGTATGTACAGTAGTACAACCAATCAAACTGACCCTCCTGATGTATATACAGTAGTACAACCAATCAAACTGACCCTCCTGATGTATATACAGTAGTACAACCAATCAAACTGACCCTCCTGATGTATATACAGTAGCACAGCCAATCAAACTGACCCTCCTGATGTATATACAGTAGTACAGCCAATCAAACTGACCCTCCTGATGTATATACAGTAGTACAGACAATCAAACTGACCCTCCTGATGTTTATACAGTAGCACAGCCAATCAAACTGACCCTCCCAGACAACTTTAAAAAAGGTACGTTGCGCGCAAGAGAGACACTTGCACATATTTCAGACTTGACAGCAGGGCCATGTTCAGTAGCCAAACGTTGCAGATAGAAATGCCATTAATAGACCCACTTTGATTCCGTGTTCTACATGTCAGAGAGGCATGTTTGTTCCACAATGTTCTGAACGTTTCACAACGTTGTGTCCTGCTGAACGTTCCCTAGGAGTTAGACTAGACCAGCGACTGTGTCCAGGGTCGAGTACCTGTGTCTGTTTTTGTTTTTCCTCTTCTTGTGGCTTCCGTGGTGGCTGCCGGAGGAGGAGGAGGCGGCCTTCTGGGGTTTGAGGTCCTGCAGCGCCCCGTCGGCGTCCTCCGTGTCCTCCTGACTGGGCTCGTTCTCCTGGTTCTGGAGGTCTGGGGATGTGTCGCTCTCTGTCCCACTGCCGGGCTCACCTGAAGGGCCAGACAACAGGAGAGCAGCATGTCTCCTTGGAGCTCAACTGTCTCACATACCAGTAGGCTACATGCAGTATGTACTGTGGCAAACAAAAGTTTATCAATTTGGGATGGCTGAGCCATATACTTACGTTTTTCATTCATGTGATCTGGTATCCCGCCAAGTGCACAGACAGCCTGTTCAACAAAGACGAACAGTTGGTCAGCAGTTACACATTATTACAATCATAGATGGCCTATTAGGAAAATACTGAGAGGATAGATGGCCTATTAGGAAAATACTGAGAGGATAGATGGCCTATTAGGAAAATACTGAGAGGATAGATGGCCTATTAGGAAAATACTGAGAGGATAGATGGCCTATTAGGGAAATACTGAGAGGATAGATGGCCTATTAGGGAAATACTGAGAGGATAGATGGCCTATTAGGAAAATACTGAGAGGATAGATGGCCTATTAGGAAAATACTGAGAGGATAGATGGCCTATTAGGGAAATACTGAGAGGATAGATGGCCTATTAGGAAAATACTGAGGGGATAGAGTGAGGCACTCACTGCTACAGAAGTGACTGAAGACTTGCTAAACAGACGCTCTGCCTCCTTGAACTTTCTGTTTCTTCTGTCTGTCTTGCTGTTGGAATTTCTATGACAGAACAACACAAAACAGAGTAAATAGATCGTAAACGCAGGCAAGATGATTCAACATGAACATTTTATGTCTGAGTTCTGCATATAGTAGCCATGGTCCATGTCATGCTTACTTTTGGTTGGTGAGGTATCTGTCCCATCCTCTAATGATATTCCCATACATCTGGGTGTCTTCCAAGTAGCTGCCCTCAAATGCATAGATCTGTCTTTCCAAGTTCACCAACGTCTCCTGTGGAATGCATGCAAATGGCATTAGACGTTGCATTTCAAATGTATGAAACTGACAGAAAGTGTAATTACTATATGGCCAGAGACAGTACCACAGCCATGCCCATGGTGATAGTGATGTGGGCATTCGCTTGGTAGGGTTTGACTGCACCTTGTGGGCAAATGAAGTTACTACCTAACTCCAGCGACGCGGCATTGTACATAAACATTGATATATCAAGTAAAACATCAATACCTATGGATGTATGACGCTGAATAAAAGCACATACTAACAGTTACATGTTATATAATGTCCCATTAGTACGGTAGCTAACGTATCTTGCCAGCGAGCAACACACATTTACCGGCAGTAGAGAGGCGAGGCCTTGTCGTAGTAACTAGCTAGTGCGGCCTAGTTAGCTAGCAAGCTACCTTCCAAATAAAACATAAGATGCAGCAAATACGCATGTAGCAAAAATATTTAGTAAAATGAACAGCGTAGCTAGCTACAGTAACTAATACACTTACCGCAAGTTCTTGTTTCCTCTTGACCAGTTCCGAGAGTTCCCGACGTGTGTCGGGAATCTGTGGCGGTGTCGCCTTCGCATGCATCGCCATGATGAATCTACGAAAAACAAAACAGTGGCGCGTCTTCAATGATGAGGTAAAATAGGTAAGTAAAGACTTTCACCACACGTGGGCGCTAGGCGACTGGTAAGTGTGCTTGCCTTGCAAAGAGCTAAATGCCTTTTCTTCTCTTGCCCCTCTGCTTTCACCAAGTACTCGTTGTCACGGCAACAGATCACATGCGGAAACATTGTATCCACACTCAGAAGTTTGTTTCTGGCTACAGTAACTTTGCAGTGTGGTAAGAAATATTTTGTTGCATCCTAGGATCACTTTGCGAGTTTGTTGAACGTTGATGGGCTACATTGACCATTCAAATTGCTACCTAGTCAGCATGAGGGTGTTGCAGTGTCCATGTCATTGCTTGACTTTGGTACCAGCGCCTCACATTTTCTACTGCTTGAGCTCCTGTACTTCTTATAAAATATTAGCTCAGAAGTATTGTGGTGGTTCTCTGTAGCTCAGCTGGTAGAGCACGGCGCTTGTAACGCCAGGGTAGTGGGTTCGATCCCCGGGACCACTCATACACAAAAATGTATGCACGTATGACTGTAAGTCGCTTTGGATAAAAGCGTCTGCTAAATGGCATATTATTATTATTATTGTGAAGCTCAAGCTTCTGCACCTAAATATGAACAGTACCAGCACCCAAAATGAGTACCGGTACCTATTTCAGTCCAAGTCAAGCACTGGTGCCATTACAAACTCTCTTCCCTTCTAAACAGATTGTCAGGCGATGCAATACATGTCAGGCACCTGTCCCTCCCGGTTTGTTGAAAGTCTCTTAGCTAATGATGGGCAAAATACACAGAGGATGACAGTAAGTGTCCTTTTTTTTTTTGCCTTGCATCCCTTGTAAATCTAAATGATGCTCAGACTTCTGCTATCGCTTTTTACATTAATCTAGGTGGCAAACTTCTAGGATACATTTCATTAATACCCACCGAGTACCAAACAGTGGTGATAAGCAATGAGGATAAGAAGGGGTTCTTGTCACAAGCTAAGAGGTTTTTTTCAGAAGACAGTCAGGTAGATATGTCAACCAATAAATCAATCTATCCTCCAGCTAATTAATACATCAACCAACCAATGAATTGTCAAATTAAGATATGATTTCGACATTTAGTTTCCAGAATGAAAACCCAGGGCCAGACACATATTTCTCAAAGGCCTGCTGAAATCAGAATCCCCTCCTTCTCAAAGAAAGGCACAGGAGGCTTAGCATCCCAGGTCAGACATGTTAATGCTACCTTACTCACGACCTCACTTATTTTTTATTTTTTTATTTTTTATTTTTTTATTTGGGGGGGGGGGGGGGGGGGGGGGAGTAGATCAGCTTTAATATTGCAGATAGATTGTGGCTTCCATCAATGTAATTGTCCGCATCATTTCCAATCCCCAATTTTAAATATGTTTTCCTTTATTATTTTCCCCTAACCCTACCACCCCTCCACTCCCCTAATTGGAGTAAACCAATGGACAACAACACTTCTACTTCCAGCTTATACATACTATATACATTTTACATACACAGTATATTTTACAATAGTTATCTTTTGTTTGTTTTTAGTCCCATCCTTCAGCTACCCTCAACACCTCCCATCTATCTCTGAACACCATCCAGTTTTGATTTCTATTTACCATATATTTTCAACTGTGCTGTGATCTTTCACAAAAATTCTCAACCTTTCTATTCTCATAGTTTCTACAGATTGTAAAATAAAGATACACATTTTTGCTAGGATTAATATGTTATTCATGGATTGACTATTACTTTTTTAATCACCCAGCGGTGCTATTTGCAGAGTTAGCTCCAGGTAAATGTTGCAATTCCTCAGCCACTCCTGAACCTGTGACCAAAAACAAGCTACATATGGGCAGTACCAAAACAAATGATCTAATGATTCAATCTTTTCGCAGCAAAATCTTTTGCCAACTATTTTGCAATATATATGGCCTCAATCTCTTTGTTTTCATCAGTGGAATCATCAGGTATTTTTTACTGAAATGTATTCTCAAACGTTACCCATTATGGGGATCAACCCAAGTGTTCTTAGGATCTCAGACCCAATGAGACTTGTTGTATGTGAACTCTCTAAATCCTTGATCTGCCACCAAACCTACACTTTACTACTGCTGCATCTCCCCTTTCCACTAGGCTGCCAGGGTTTCCTGTAACCCTCAGAGAGGTATCCCAGGACCCTATGACCTGCAGTCCTCTCTGATTCACAAGCACAGCTTTGGGAACCTTCCGACCGCCAGTCGCTGTGCAACTTGATGGCCCTAAGACTCCAACCCCTAATCAATGTCATGTATGTACAGTATTCAAGGCTATTCAAACCATAGATCTGAGAAGGGGGAGTGCTGATCTAGAATCCGTTTTATCCTTTAGATCAGAATGAATAAGACTGCATGGACCTGATCCTAGGTCAGCACGCTTTATGAATACGGATCCAGGACTAGCAATCGTTTCTATGACAACATCTCTCTGGTCTTAAATGGTTTCCCATGCCTTTTAGCCCTTGTTCAAGGAGGAGACATTACCTGGGAATATCAGCTCCTCCTCTGATTCTCCTGAAGAACCCATCCCCTGCCTGACCCTGGGCAGTTGGATGTGGTGAACTACGGGGGCCCGCCCAAGCACTTAGTGGCCAGTGCTGTTTGTTTCTGGGACAAGCCGATGGACCCAGGACGCGCGAGGCCAGCGAATGCCAGGTCCAAGTACTGTATCATTGACCCTCCTAGTCTTCGTCCCAAATGGCACCCTCTTCCCTATGTAGTGTACTACTTTTTTTATCAGGGTCCATAGGGCTGTGGTCAAAATTAGTGCACTATATAGGCAATAGGGTGCTATTTGGGATACAGTCCAAGCCACACAGTTAGATTGGACACTTTTCCTATCCGGTTGTAACCAATAATATCGTATGAGCATAATAAATTGGTGTTTTATATCATGTTTTGACTATTATTATTGATATTCTTATGTTTAACTTTTCATTTCAGTAAAGAGGATATTGATTGAACTTCATGTTTTTTCTGTTCATAGGTTTTCTATGAACCAGACACGTTATCAAAGCGGTCTTTCTCATACAATCACTCCAAGAACTGGATTCCTACATGAAGCACCTGAAGACACACACATTGCTTTTCTGTGGGCATTTTGTGCACGTGTTCACACAACACTGTGTGTATATTTATCAGTTTACTTCATGTTATTGCCGTTGAGTGGCTTGGTGTGGGAGCTTGTTTCTCTGTCTGCATGTGAGGAAGGTTCGGTGCAATGGTTTTATATGCATTACATGTATGCATATGTTTTACTGTGATTAAAGAGAAAAAACAACTCACTTGATGCAGCCATCTATTCAGTAATTGTATTTCCATATATCCTTAAGACTAAACACATGTTTTTTGTCCAGGAATGTAGAGAAGATTCACAGTAATGGTACGGTAGTCACTGACAACTGCTAGGCCTAGTGTTGTCAGTGGTACGCCCCAATAACAGCTGGGCACACGAGACGACATAGCCAAAGCAACTGTTGGGGACATGCTGAGGGGTGGGACACTGGTGAGGGGGTCTGTATGAAGGGTGAGACACTGGGGAGGGGGTCTGTATGAGGGGTGAGACACTGGGGAGGGGGTCTGTATGAGGGGTGAGACACTGGGGAGGGGGTCTGTATGAGGGGTGGAACACTGGGGAGGGGGTCTGTATGAAGGGTGAGACACTGGGGAGGGGGTCTGTATGAGGGGTGAGACTGGGGAGGGGGTCTGTATGAAGGGTGAGACACTGGGGAGGGGGTCTGTATTTTTTACATTTACATTTTAGTCATTTAGCAGACGCTCTTAACCAGAGCGACTTACAGGAGCAATTAGGGTTAAGTGCCTTGCTCAAGGGCACATTAACGTCATTTAGCAGACGCTCTTAGCCAGAGCGACTCACAAATTGGTGCGTTCACCCTATAGCCAGTGGGATAACCACTTTACAATTTGGGGGGGGGGGGGGGGGGGTTAGAAGGAATACTTTATCCTATCCCAGGTATTCCTTAAAGAGGTGGGGTTTCAAATGTCTCCGGAAGGTGGTGAGTGACTCCGCTGTCCTGGCGTCGTGAGGGAGCTTGTTCCACCATTGGGGTGCCAGAGCAGCGAACAGTTTTGACTGGGCTGAGCGGGAGCTATGCTTCCGCAGAGGAAGGGGAGCCAGCAGGCCAGAGGTGGATGAACGCAATGTCCTCGTTTGGGTGTAGGGACTGATCAGAGCCTGAAGGTACAGAGGTGCCGTTCCCCTCACTGCTCCATAGGCAAGCACCATGGTCTTGTAGCGGATGCGAGCTTCAACTGGAAGCCAGTGGAGTGTGCGGAGGAGGGGGGTGACGTGAGAGAACTTGGGAAGGTTGAACACCAGACGGGCTGCGGCATTCTGGATGAGTTGTAGGGGTTTAATGGCACAGGCAGGGAGCCCAGCCAACAGCGAGTTGCAGTAGTCCAGACGGGAGATGACAAGTGCCTGGACCAGGACCTGCGCCGCTTCCTGTGTAAGGCAGGGTCGCACTCTCCGAATGTTGTAGAGCATGAACCTGCAGGAGCGGGTCACCGCCTTGATGTTGGCGGAGAGCCAAGGGGAGGTGCTCTCACCACTGGTGTCCCCCAGGGATCGGTTCTGGGCCCTCTCCTTTTCTCCCTATACACCAAGTCACTTGGCTCTGTCATATCCTCACATGGCCTTTCCTATCATTGCTACGCTGACGATACACAACTAATCTTCTCCTTTCCCCCTTCTGATAACCAGGTGGCGAATCGCATCTCTGCATGTCTGGCAGACATATCAGTATGAAGGGTGAGACTGAGGAGGGGGTCTGTATGAAGGGTGAGACACTGGGGAGGGGGTCTGTATGAGGGGTGAGACACAGGGGAGGGGGTCTGTATGAGGGGTGAGACACTGGGGAGGTGGTCTGTATGAAGGGTGAGACACTGGGGAGGGGGTCTGTATGAGGGGTGAGACTGAGGAGTGGGTCTGTATGAGGGGTGAGACACTGGGGAGGGGTCTGTATGAAGGGTGAGACACTGGGTGGGGGTCTGTATGAAGGGTGAGACTGAGGAGGGGGTCTGTATGAAGGGTGAGACACTGGGGAGGGGGTCTGTATGAGGGGTGAGACACTGGGTGGGGAAGGGGTCTGTATGAGAGGTGAGACACTGGGTGGGGTGTCTGTATGAAGGGTGAGACTGAGGAGGGGGGTCTGTATGAGGGGGTGAGACACTGGGGAGGGGTCTGTATGAAGGGTGAGACACTGGGTGGGGGTCTGTATGAAGGGTGAGACTGAGGAGGGAGTCTGTATGAAGGGTGAGACACTGGGGAGGGGGTCTGTATGAGGGGTGAGACACTGGGGAGGGGGTCTGTATGAAGGGTGAGACTGAGGAGGGGGTCTGTATGAAGGGTGAGACACTGGGGAGGGGGTCTGTATGAGGGGTGAGACACTGGGGAGGGGGTCTGTATGAAGGGTGAGACACTGGGGAGGGGGTCTGTATGAAGGGTGAGACACTGGGGAGGGGGTCTGTATGAAGGGTGAGACACTGGGGAGGGGGTCTGTATGAGGGGTGGAACACTGGGGAGGGGGTCTGTATGAAGGGTGAGACACTGGGGAGGGGGTCTGTATGAGGGGTGAGACACTGGGGAGGGGGTCTGTATGAAGGGTGAGACACTGGGGAGGGGGTCTGTATGAGGGGGTGAGACACTGGGGAGGGGGTCTGTAGAAGGGTGAGACACTGCGGAGGGGGTCTGTATGAGGGGTGAGACACTGGGGAGGGGGTCTGTATGAGGGGTGAGACACTGGGGAGGGGGTCTGTATGAGGGGTGAGACACTGGGGAGGGGGTCTGTATGAGGGGTGAGACACTGGGTGGGGGAGGGGTCTGTATGTAAACAATGTGACTGGGCATGGGACAGGAATGGCTTTTAAACCAAAAGACAAATGGCCGTGTCAGTCAATCACTCCCTTATCCACTCTCTCACTGCTCAGCTCATCTACCCCTTAATATCGGTCTATAAATTGTTGCCCCCCCTTATCCCTATAGCAGTTAGGGATCCCCGTTGTGGTTGGTTTACATGATACATTAGCATGTGCCAATCTCATGTTCTCAGTATTATGTCTGGAACCTGTGTATATTTCAGTTTTTTTTTTCTTCGTCAGTGGCCAAGATCAGGTTCTGCCTGATAAAGCAGTTTTCGACCATCACAACGAGTTACATCTTCGCCTGTTTTTTGTCTGCCAACATGAGTTACACTTAGGACACTTGACCACTAAACAAGGATTTCAATCTCTATTTTATACACAGACATAATGCAACAGAACTTTTAAAATGGTGGTTATATACTGTATGTATTGAAAGCAAGCATGATAGTTTCAACTTTAACTGTGCTTTCGAGTGGATGTACCGTTGGCAATTTTTCCAGGTTCACACTCTCAGCGTTCTCCTCTCTTGATGCCACAGCAACGGTCTGCAGACATGGTTGGATCCCACACTGTAAGAGCTGCCGATACTGTATATTCAGACACTTCCAATATTCTGTCCACTTAAACACTCCCTGTAAAACCAAACCACAGTTTATATGACTTTCACTCCCAAAACAAGGCTTCTGTCTGAGCTCCTTTTAGTTTTGAGAAACAAAACTGCTTTTGTTACTTCTCTGGTCTTCCACTGGTCCGAAAGACTTGTGGGAAGACTAATTCATCCTATAAAATCAATACTTGGAGAGTAGGCTTTAGTCACTTTAGGAAGCTTTGAGATCTGGGGGGGTCTCAAGAGAGGAGGCATTACCTACCGTGACCTTGATTTCAGCTGCTCCATGTGGATTTCTTTCCTGACATTTAAACGACTGGCTCAACTGCTGTTGTCTGAAGCCACTAGCGTTGTAGTTGCAATAACACACGGGACAGAGCCACTGAAACACATACCTCTGGCATTATGGGAGCTGTCTGAGCTACATTATAGCTTGTAGTCAAATTGGGCAAGTATAAGCATGTTCAGTCAAAGGGGCCCTTCCTGAGACAGCCTTTTGTCGTGAGTGTGTGCATTTGGGAATTGTATGTGTATTCTTGTGAGATCTATCCCCATGTACTGGTAGTGTATGGTGAGTAGATGTGAAGTGAGGCACCTGCATGACCCTAAACCTAATTACAATTTAACGCTGATATCTGTAATCTCACTCTCTATTGTCACACTTCTTAGCCAATGTCAATAAACATGAGCGCACTGACAGGCATGATACATATCCAGCATAAGGCATT